AAGATATTCAAATATAGTTAAATATAGGCATGTTTCTTCTAAATAAATCAATATAAACACTTAAAAAAATAAATATGTCAAACTAAATGAGAAACATCTGCATAATATTTCTCCTTCCAAATTTAAAAAAAAAAATTAATTTTTTTAATGACATAATTTAAACAAAATTATCACCTAAATAAAATTCTGAGCTTCATACTGGAATGATGTATGGTGGTAGCAAAAAAAAAATTACATACACGTGAGTTTTAAGTAATGAAGAAAATAATTATAAGAAAATTTAGACAATTTGGACTGTGTGACGTCATTGTTATAAGGAGACCTATCCAGGCTGGAGAGAAAACTGGGTCTAGGAATTATTATAACAGAACATAATAAGCTATAAAAAAAAGTAAAGATTAGATTATAATACCATTGATTTTATTCAGATCTTTGAATAAAAACTTTTCACAGAAAATACGTAACTCTACAAGATAGACATTTCGTAAAACTGAATATTTGCGTATCGGTTACTAGAAACACTCGTATCGGTTACTAGAAACACTGGGTCATGGACATGTTTTCCGTGAATGCAGTTGTGTACATCCAGAAATTATGATTTGCAATTCTTTTGACTTTTAATAATAATAATAATAATAATAATAATAATAATAATAATAATAATAATAATAATAATAATAATAATAATAATAATAATCATCATCATCATCATCATCATCATCATCAGCATCATAATAATAATAATAATAATAATAATAATAATAATAATAATAATAATAATAATAATAATAATAATAATAATAATAATAATAATCAAAACAAACTTAATGCGATTTTGATACATATTATTTACTTTTTACCAATTTCTGGCAGAATTCATGCAGTGATGTTTCTCGGTCATACATGGACAGGTATTTGTATAATTTGGATTTTAATGTAGCTTTAATAGTTCTTCAGTCATATCACTATAATGTCCGTAGTGTGGCAGGTTATAGTGATGTCTAGCACTGGGGCATCATGGCGCAGACATAATGCATCATGTCCCACCCTCTCACATATCCTGTTTCCAGGCCGGCCAGTCTTAACACTAACCTCTTAATGCTGAGCGCCAAGCGAGGCAGCTGCTAGTACCATTTTTATAAGTCTTTGGTATAATTCAGCTCGTGTTCAAACCCGCATCCGACGGGACAGGTATGATAAACTACGAATCGTTCAGAACTTAAAATATAAGATAGAGTTTATGATTGTGAGAATCCAGAATGTGTATTTTGAAATATCATATATATATATATATATATATATATATATATATATATATATATATATATATATATATATATATATATATATATATATATGAAACAGACATAACAAAATGAGGTTACAGCTATCCAATCAAGTATGATCGAGTGATTTTGTTACACACTTTGGGTTGTAAATAGAAACATGCCAATGATTGATTAAAATTGACAAATCAAATTTTATTTTGCTTTTTATCAATATTCAAATACACATAAATCATAATACATTTATTTTCATGCAAATTAATGTTCAAAATATGTGTATTTTAGATTTTTAGTATTTTTTGGTGTTTCTAATAATTTTCTGTATATAGATATTACCACGACAGTTGAAGCTCATAGTGGTATTTAAAAAAGATATAAATGTATATATAGAGTATATTTCAGTACTTCAGTACCATTCACATAATCAAAACAATAATGGACGGTGCCATTTTGGTGAATTACAAGATTACCAATACGAAAACATTGGTAACATTCCCAGGATTAATGAATCGACTATTTCACCAACAGAAATGTCTAACTCTACGCATATCGATTTAACACGCATGATAATAAAAACTGACACTCGGCAATTAAAGGTTAGTGTTAGGACTGGTCAGTCTGGTGTCGGGATAATGTGACTTGTTTGGACATGATGCTACATGTCTGCGAGACATTATTATAAATTGACACACTGCAGACACCATAGCCATGTAGCCAAAGTTGTTCAATCTACGTTAAAAAATCTAACTAACACATACACGCTATTATTTAACGGTAGATACTTTATTGGTGCGTGACAGCTTTATGGTTTTTCTTAATGACTGCGAAACACAGCAAACTTGATCCTAGTCGGTGCATGGTGCATGGTGCAAGTTAAAAGGCATCGGATTTTGAACATGAGCTTTCAACAAATTGGAATTTGTTTTTGATGACTAAGAGTGGAAAAAATATGTGGAATTCTAATGATACTGCATAGAGAATATCATTAAAATAAATTTTTTTTTAAAAAAACGGTCAAGTCAACCTAGATAAAAAAAACATCTATGTGTAAGGTCATGTGCCATTACATAAATGCAAAATGGGTGAGTGGGTGTGATTTGGATTTTTAAAGTAGCTTTAACAATTTTTCAGTCAAGCAAATAGGAAAAACTAGATGAACAAGTTAGAGCAGAGACGAAACTCTGTTCAAAATATCGGACAATTATGATACTGGTTGTATTTTACAAGACAAAAGTGATTTATCAGTATTACAGGAGAGGTTATAAGTAATAAAAATGATATCACGAAAACATTAACCCAAAATAAATACACTATTCTCTGGAGAAACTTTAGTTTTCCGTACAGTTTGGTTTAAAGTGAAAAACAATGCAGACTCATCTTAATTGAACGATTGCCATGCAAAGAACCATATAAAAGTCTTAGTCACAAGGCAACAAAAGATTCTGAGAAAACATTTTTTTAGACTATTGAATAATACTATTTGTTAGCTACTTTATTACTACTCTGTTCAATAACTTTTAAAGCACTGTCAACTTGTTTCACCAGGTTTTAATATATTTTAAATTTATCTTCTCCAAAAACTTACGTATTTTAGTATCAACACGTCTTTGCACAAACCTACTAGCAGCTGCGGCAGTTAATTTAACAGCGGACGTAAAATTCTGACACTGGTAGTGTTGAGGTTTTAGTGGATATTGTATCACCTATTAAGGTTTAAGTGTTGAGGTTTAAGTTGCTATTGTGTTCCTTATTAAAGTTTTAGGGTTGAGGTTTAAGTGGATACTGTGTCACCTATTGACGCACTCTCTGTTATTTTTTTTTTGTCTGAATGATTAAAGATAAGTAAACTTAAGTTATTAAAACCTTTTAAAGATACTTCTTCCATATACATTACATAGAATGCATACATTTCAGAAATACCTTCAAAGTCGGTCGTGATCTCATACTCGTCTTTTATGCTGAGGTTTATTCTGTTTAAGGGTAGACAATTATACTACTGGTATTAGTACCTAGGTGACACAAATCATAGACGTCAGAACGAATAGACAACCTACAGTAAGGTAACCGGACATGCCGATGTCTTTTTAGTACCAAAAGTGGCTCTTCCGCCTGGCATGGTTGCATGCAGGCACAACCGATTGATTTGTATCATCCAAAGTCGTCTCTCTGTACAAACCAATCTTAAATAATACATCATCACCACAAGCTACAGAAATCATCTAATGTGAAATATTTCCTGTAGCACAGGCTGTACCATTGCATTCTGCGGGTCAGCCTTCTTAGCAGCCTTATACAACAGGTGCCGAAACAAAAACAATGTTTTACTGAAGTAATATGTAAAATATAATGCTATGGTATTGGTGGGTAGGTGAGTGACACATTCGTACTTGCCTGTCACATTTTTGGGTCTGAATCGCCATGAATATTTGATGTAACAGTACCCACAACTGCAGAGGCTTATATTGTACATTTACACATTCGGTTATCTCCCTTATGTCATCAATTCGGCTAAACATAGAGTTATACCTGTAAGCTATTAATTTATTTTTTTTTTACGATATGAGAATTGATAGTATCTCATTAGTAATTACTTCTAATGACTATTAACATTAAATGAAACACAGTCACCGTGGAGAACATTTTAAACGCTCTAGCAAACACTAATAATGGAGTTATTATTCCGAGAGAGATATATTATTGTTTAAATTAAACCCACATATAGGATTGAATTTAGTATATATCTGTAATGTTCTCTATGTACTTAATCGAAGAAATTTAGCATTGTAGTTGGCAATAATGCCTGTATAATTGTTACAGGAAGTGATTTTAACTTAGTTATTTGACATTAACACTGTACCATTTACAGATATTCCCTGCTCGACATGATTTGCGGACATCTCGTGTTTGTAAAAAAAACATCAAGATCAAAAACAAACTTTGTTTCGTTTTTGTCGATTATGTAGCAGAAAATTTTCGTGGCCTTATTTCCTTCCTAATTGCGTCTCGTGTTTCTTTCTACTCGCCGATGATTAAAGCAAACTTTTAATTGTCACTGGTCGTCTATTACGTCATCAATTCTGTTCAACTATCTAATGACAGATGTTATTATTTCACAATGTTTTAAAACTTTTTTGCAAATCAATATTTCTCCCAACCATTAGAATCAATATACATTATTGTTTATTTCATGGTACACATTAATTTGTTTAGGGGCACTAGCCTTCAAACATCATTCACATTTCACCTCGGTCGGTTTTGGTTAGAAGCTCGGCTCGACCAACGTGGGCACGTGAGAAAGCTCACCAGTAACTTCCCGTGGGTCAGTGGTTCTTCCTGGGGTTTTTTCTTCCCCCAAATATATTGGCCACCATCTATTGCCTATCAAGTACTGCAAATGGCATTAAACTTATAAAACCATCCCAAATGAACTTTGTAGACACTTTGTGATTGACATGTTTCATATGAATATTCTAGTCGTGAATGTAATAGCCATAGTGCCTTTCTGCATTATTTTTTCTCCAATTTTCTTTTCGTCTTTTGTCCCCTCGTTTAGTTGACCGTAAAGATGACGCGATTCTTATATATTCTATGTATAAATTCGAATGAAGTTTAACTGCTTACATGATTGCATCAAATTTTCTTTTTATACTTTTTTCCCTTCAAAATTAAATGGACATGCTATGTTATTATTGGTACTATCTTTTCAGATGAACCGCTCCTGTGGGCTAGTTATTAAAGCGTTCGCCTCGGATGCGAGAGGTCTCGGGTTCGAAACCCGGCTGAGTCATACCAAAAACTTTTTAAAAAATGGTACTAACAGCTGCATCGCTTGGCGCTTAGCATTAAGAGGTTAGTGTTAGAACTGGTTGGTTTGTTGTCAGGATAATGTGACTGGGTGAAACAACATTTTACATGTCTGCGGCATGATGCCCCAGTGCTAGACATCACTATAACCTGCCACACTGCAGACATCGTAGCGATATGACTGAAAAATTGTTAAAGCTACATTAAAAATGTTAATCACTCACTCACACACACACTCACATACAAATACACACATTTTTCAGATGATCTTTGACTCAACTTGATCTCTTTGTTTCTTCAGTAATCCCACTTACCATGCTATGACATTTTTTTTACAGTCGACTTATTGAATAAAAATGTTAAAATCATTTATTATTAAGAATGAATTGAATGGTGCCCAGCATTTAAACGAGAGACCGTATAAAGTCCATCTTTAAATACTTGACACCATGCACGTGATTCTTAATGTTAAAAGATTTTGTATCACATACATACATACATACATACATACATACATACATACATACATACATACATACATACATACATACATACATACATACATACATACATACATACATACATACATACATACATACATACATACATACATACATACATACATACATACATACATACATATATATATATATATATATATATATATATATATATATATATATATATATATATATATATATATATATATATATATATATATATATATATATAAAGAAAAAATATTAACTAATCAGTCGTTGCTAAAACCTGCATTGGATTCAGGGATTCAGTTATAAGTCAGCATATCTTGTCAGTCTAGTATTTGAAATAGCACTGATGCTTTTTGTGACGGCTCATGATAGTAATTGTTCCATAAATACATGGATATTGTGTGTAACATGTAAGCCATTATTCAGGTATCGGTATATGTTATTCAGTCACGTGTGCTTCTTAGGTACCTAATTATTTTCTTTCCATTATTTATGTATCAGTATATGTTATTCAATCATATGTGCTTCTTAAAATCTCTCTATTATTCGGGTATAAATATCTGTTATTCAGTCATATGCACTTATAAGGTAGCCATTTAATGTCTTTCCATTATTCAGGTATCTATATGTGTTATTCAGTCACATGTACTTATTAGGTACCCATTTAATATTTTACCATTTTTTATGTATCAATATGTGTTATTGAGTCACATGTATTTTTAAGGTACCCGTTTAATTTCTTATCTGGACCAACTTTTGTTTTTTGCAAAGTTCGACATGGCATTCATTCTTGTTTTGTTCTACGATTCAACTCATCGCTTGCATTATTATTAAGAATGAAAGGAATACTTTCAAAATGGTTAATTTAAAATTAAATACCTGCAGGATTTCATCTATTGAAACACATTTTAATTTATTTCAGCTAGCCACATCTTCTAACATTAATTTTTGGCTTCGTATTGAACATAATCAGAGTTTATACTAGAATTCGTTATCTCTTTATTGGGAAAAATATTATATAACATGGACATAATATCTGCTTAACTATAACAAACTGAATAGTTCAATTCTTTTGGATTTATTGATATCTTTTCATCGAAAAATTTGAGAATTTATGACCCTCAGTTCACGTTATATAGATAGATGCCAAAAACTGACGACGAATAGTGCAAAACTAGCAACTAAATAGCCTGAGCGTTTCGACTCTTCATGAGTCTTTTTCAAAGTCATATACAAAACATAGACAATACAAACAAACAAACAAACAAAAAAGTTGTTTGTCATACTCTATATGGCTGTCTCTACATGAATTAAACCTATTATACATTATGTCTCAACCAGCCTGTATAGACTCGTTGCGCTTGAAAAGGTTGTTATTTACCGTATGATTTATATTCTATATAATTCATAGGAACTTATGCCTATAGTTAGGAAAAACCAAAGTAACAATGAACCGATTAATGAGTGTAACTTTTCTCTATCAAATCAAACTGCACGGGCCCATCACCACGGGCACAAATATCTCTCCCACAGGTGAATTGAGAGTTTAGATGTTATGAATACATGTATGCTCATCTTGTACAAAATCTGTAAGATACGACTTCACTGCACACGAAATAACGGTGCCAAATGTTCAGATTAAGAATATATTTTAGAGAAGATAGTTTTTTATATTATAATAAGGAGAATAACTTTCTTAATTGTTTGAAACATATAACTATTTGCTCATTTTAATTGGACAACACAATATGTCCGTTGCCTTCATCGTCCCTCTTTTGGACAACTTGAGAGATCACCTCTGTCTGCATGGGTTTGAGTCTAAGATTCGGCGAATGTGGATATGTGACAAAGCTTGCCAGTAGCTTCTCGTGGTTTGGTGGTTCTTTCTGCGGATTTCCCGGTTTCTTTCTCCACCATTAATACTGGCCGCCATGTATCGTGTAGCCAGTAGCTTCTCGTGGGTCGTTGGTTCTTTCCGCGAATGTCCCGGTTTCTTCCTCCACCATTAATACTGGCCGCCATGTATCGTGTGCTGAATAATGGCGTTAAGCCTTACAACAACAACAACAACAACAACAACAACAACAACAACAACAACAACCTGAGAGATGTGTGTGTGTGATTTAAATTTTTAGCGTAGCTTTTAAAAAATTCAGTCATATCACTACGATGTCTGCAGTGTGCTAGTTTTTAGTGATGTCTAGCACTGGGGCATCATGCCGCAGACATGAAGCATGATGTCCCACCCAGTCACATTATCCTGACACCAGCCAACCAGTCCTAACATTAACCTCTTAATGCTTAGCGCCAAGCGAGGCAGCTGTTAGTACCATTTTTTAAAGTCTTTAGTATGACTCGGCCTGGGTTCGAACTTACGACCTCCTGCATCTGAGGCGGACGCTCTAACCACTAGGTCATCGGAGCGATTAACTGAGAGATGCCTATCATGTTTTCTCGACATCGTAGTCCGATTCTATTCGCAAGGGAGATTGATAGACGTAATTCGCACCTTCCCCCACCCTACTCAATTAAAGTCAGTGTATTCAGCCTAATTACAAAATATTATCGCAGTTTGAAGCAAAGAAGGGAAGATTACGACTGAAGAAGAAATATCTTACAAAATTTTCCTTCCACGTCATCCCTTGTTTTAAATATTGAAAAAGAGCATTGTTTCGTCTTATTTATGAATGCTCAGAAATGTTTTTGCAGGATTCTAACCTTTCTTTTTGTGAAAGTTATCTTTAAACAGTTAGACTTTGGATAATAACTGAGCAAACCCTGTTTTTCAGTACTGAAAAACAGCTCTGGCTTATATTATTGATGAGAAAAGAATATTAGGAAGTTATTACAATAATTTTTAAAATTAATTTTTTGGGCACAGAGACTATTGATTTAATGAAGTCTCTACCTGTGCTTTGAAGTGGAAAAGAAAGATAGCAAAAAGGTACACATGGTTTCAGATGCTTTTTACAACCGTTAAAATTATTTCATACGCATGGAATCTACGACAGAATCGGCAACTGTCAATATTGTTTTATACAATGGAATCTATGACAAAAATTGTAAATTTTTAAATTCGTTGGTGGTGGGAGCTTAACAAAGTATTATATGCAGTACGTTCTGAATTAATATGTTACAATGTACTACCATCTTTAAAGAACTTAAGTGATTAAAACAGAGAAGGGAAGCGTACGACTGAAGAAGAAATATCTTACAAATCTCTAATTTTGCCTTCCACGTCATCCCTAGCTTTAAACAATGGAAAAAGAGTATTGTTTCTTCTTATTTATGAATGCTCAGAAATGTTTTTAACTTTTATTTTGAAAGTTATCTTTAAACAGATAGACTTTGGATAATAACTTAGCAAAACCTGTTTTTCAGTACTGAAAAACTGCTTAGACTTACGTTATTGATGGGAAAAGAATATTAGGAACTTATTACAATAATTTTTAAAGTTAATTATTTGGGCACAAAGACTGTTGATTTAATGAAGTCTCTACCTGAGCTTTGAAGTGGGAAAGAAAGAAGGCAAAAAGGTACATATGCTTTCAGATTCTTTTAGATCATACCTTTTATCTTGGTTTTCCGAATAGTTTTGCTTTTATACTCGCATTTATTTATCAAGTATTATTTTAGGATAATGTTTCATTATTGTTCTATAATTTTATATAAATTAGCAGCTGTTAACGTCATCTGTGGCAGAAACTGGCAAATTGTCAACGTTGTTTCATACACATGGAATCTATATAACAGAAATTGGCAACTGTTAAAATCATTTTATACACATGGAATATATATACCAGAAATTGGTAACTATTAAAATCATTTTATACACATGGAATCTATACACCTCCCTGTGGAGCAAAATAAGTTTTTCGTAGAGTTCATATCACGAATATTTAAAATGGGTAGGTTACATTCCAAAATCCAAATCTCTCTCTCTCTCTCTCTCTCTCTCTCTCTCTCTCTCTCTCTCTCTCTCTCTCTCTCTCTCTCTCTCTCTCTCTCTCTCTCTCTCTCTCTCTCTCTCTCTCTCTCTCTCTCTCACACACACACACACACACACACAAACACATACACACACACACATTCACAAACACACACACAACAATTAAGCTTACCAACATTACATGACATATAGTTTCCACATATTACATTCGAAGCATGATAGTTTCCAGGTAAAAGGGAACTGCAAGCTGCACAAGACGGGGACTAATATAATGAACATTTGTTCCAAAAGACGCTGATGTATTTTTTTTCCTCCCAGTATTTCATTTGGAGATGATAAAATTTTAAGAATATGTGGAATTTTCCCAAAATGTAAAAATTATTAGTGCAACTTTAATTTTGATCTTAAATTAACCATAAAATAAGTAATTGTGTTCCATTTTCATTTTCATGAGTTGTATTCTACCTTTTTCTACCTAACTTTGAAATATATATATATATATATATATATATATATATATATATATATATATATATATATATA